GTTTTTTTTTTTTTTTTTTTTTTTTTTGGGCAATGCATTTACAGTAAACGAGCGACAAAATAAACATACTGTTAGAGGGCTTGTAGCTAGATTTGAACAGAAGTCAAAGCAACGATACCAAGTTTTCCAATGTTAGTATATGAACAGGGAACCCCGAGTCCAGACCTTGACATGGATCAGTCAGGAGGCAGAAGAATTTTGAAGTCAGAAACGTAAATGAAACAGGGAATTTGAAGAACAAATCAAAATAAATACAGGTACAGAAGATGTTTCTGATTATATGTTGCTGTTCTTCCTTTCATTTCAGGTCAAATGGCTGCTGCTTCTCCGTGATTACAGTGGGGGATGCAAGTTAAAGCAAGTAGATGAAAATATCACATGAATAGCAGGCAATTTAAGCAAAGAGGGAGGCGGTCACATTCAAAGCGAAAGTTATTACTCGACTATGCTTGTTAATGAACTTGACAGGAAAAGCATCGAGAATACCTGCACTCAATATCTGAATAAAATCGTTCCCTTCATCTAGAGTAGGATAAATTTAGCTCTTAACCGCTGTGTTTCCTTCCAAAATCTCATTTACAGCCTCCTTGTGCCCTGAATTTTCGCTACGTCCATCTGCTTTCGTAATTGGCCTATCCTTTCCATCACTGTCAACGTCCATGTCCTGAGGTTTATATCTCTCAACCTGTGACTGATTCATGATTTCTTTCTGATCTGAGGAATCGGGAACCGCACTGGTATTACTGTTTTGTCTCTCTTCTACCTGGTTGCAAGTTTCAACGTTAATATAGCCATCAGCTGTTGGCATGTTTTGTGAACTACCACTACAATTACTAGTCTCAGTTGTCTGTCTTTTCAAAGCTGGTCCTAAGTCTGCTGGCTTTTCATCTAGAACTCTCTCAGATAATAATTTTCTTGAAAGACAATGATCATTCTTTTGGAATGTGGTCTGTACACCACCTAAACCACGACCTCTAACGTCTTCCACTGTCTTGATCTCCTTTTCTGACAATGGATCAGCAGCTGCTGTAACAGAGGCTACAGCAATATTCTGGTCTGATGGCACACTTGATAATGTGGCTGTTTGTAGAGACGTGGTCTTCACAGGGACACCACGAGACAGAGATGGCATGACCGCAGGAGTGTTAGAGAGGGTGGTTGACTTAATACTAGGATGAGCTTCTAAATGGTTCGACCCCCTGCCAGGAGTGGGTGTTTTGGTTGAAGCAGGGATTTTGGCCGTGATATGGATGGCATTCTTCGACTGAGCGGCCTTGAGTAGAGATGCAGCATCTGCTGGTGAAGCTATGCGAGCCCCAGCAGCAACTGCAGCAGCTCTAACAATACAGTCTGAATCAAAAGAAGACTTTGGAATCATCTTCTTGGATGTGGTAACCTGAGCTTTGGCTGTTAGACTCGAAGATCCAATGGGAGATGGTTTTGTATGTGTAGGGCTTTGATGTAATTTCTCTTGTACTTGGTCCGATGTGGCAACAGCAGCAAGGGAGCTACCATTACCAATCTTATTTGTACTGGCTGGTCATTTGGAAAAAGGAAAAAAAAGGTCAAAAAAAGGAGAAGGAAAAAAAGAGCATTGAAATTGTGAAAATGAGAAACATCAGAAACCTATTGTGTTAACAGGAGTATGAAACTTCTCTTCACAAACATTAATCGTTAGACATACACAGACATCAGAGTATAGTAACTGAAGAAAGATCATGTGACCGTCAACAGGAACTATTCAAACAAGGCATCTCTTCTCCGACGCTTGCATGCATAAAATACATATACCAATTTAAATCTCCAAGAATAAACACCAGTTCCCTATAATTTTGCCAAAACCACATCTCATAGCCACAGAAAAGAGTCAACAGACTAAGATGATGATAAACCCCATTTTTACAGAACATACGCATAATCCACAACATGCTAGATAAAATGAGTGAACATTCAATAAAATCTTCCAGATTAGCCCATTTATCTCAATTCTAAGTGGAGAACTAAGTTTCCCTTTTAAGGAAGAAACCTATAGAAGACAGTATTTACCTGAGCCACTTATTCGAGCTGCTTTCAAGCTACCGACAACATGCCTATCGAGAGCTAAGGACATTGCATGACGCGCTGCCAGCTGCACCTCAGATAGATGTGTACCAGCTGTGTTGGCTCCCACAGTCAAATTTCCATGCTTCTTTTTAATAATTGCCCATCTCTACAGGACCAAAGAGTTGGATTATATTTCAGAGATGAGAAATATTAATTGGAGAGTTGAGCATATAGTAATTTTGAACCAGTCACATAGTAATTTTAAAAGACATTTTAAACCAGTCACTTAGTAATTTCCATGCTTCCAAGGCTAATGGCTGATACAGGCTACATCAAAGACATTTTAAACCAGTCACATAGTAATTTTGAAAGAACTATAAGCATATGTCTCGACAAAAGACTCCGCTGCTGGGATTTGAACCCTGGACAACTGGATCAAACCCAAATTCTGGCCTAACTAGATGACAATGGACAGTGGGTTGTGTTGGTTGCTTCATTTTAATGTCTTGGAAGTCATAGTTAAGCAGCTTTGGCGAGACTAAACACAATGAGAAATGTGAAATGTAATGATACGGAAGCGTGTTAAGATTAGAGAGAAATATCACCACAATCAACTTGAATTTTGGGGGTTTCAAGAACGTTTATGAACATTTAATTACTAACCAATGCTACAACTTCGAACTGTAACATGAGATAGCAAAAAGTTTTGAACTGTTTTGTGCAACGAGGGAAGCATTGTTATGAGGAATGTTGTATCCATCCATGATACAACTTGACTAACATTTTTCTTTTATAAACAAGAAAAGTTTCATTAACCAAGAGAGAAGTACAAGAATAGCTAGGAGGTCAAATAGGTCAATCCCACTCAAGCATTGCAAGAGATTTACAAAAACAAATAGAAATGAAAAAATGCTATTGTTTCTTTGAATCCAAAATTTCCGGCTGTTATGGTTGGAAACTTCGAAGAATAATCTTAGTGAGTATTCTTCAGTTCTCTTTTGTGTATGCCGAGTGCTTGGGAAGCTTGGATGTGAGTGGTGGAAATTCAAAGAAGTACTGTCTCCTCTCTGAAAAATGTATAGGATGTGAAACGAGTCGTGGTGTTAACCATAGATAATAAGATCTCATAATAGCAGTGTGTACTGGGGATCTAACAACAGGTTTCATTTTCACTTTCCACTCATTTCCCCTTTGTTGATAGAAACTGATGGTTACAAAGCTAAGATGAATGGAAGGTTCTGTAGAATGTCTCTGTAAGTTGCTCCTAAAGTCAACATAATACCAATAGTAGGGGTTAAGCCACCCCACAGCCCAGCCTCACCACTTCAGATGCTTCTGACTGCTACTCCCCGCCACCTTCAGTTGCTGCTCCACATTGTATCTGTCCACCATAGGCCAGCCTATACTCTTTCCCATTTTTATTCCCTAATCCTACCCAACCCTTTGTCCTGCCTATCTTCTCTTGCCACAGATTCGTTTGCTGCTCGCTGCTGTCTTCCACCGTTCCCCATTGGATTCAACCTCCACTCTTTATCGTTTTCGTCGGACTCACATTGGCCCAAAGTCTCTCCAGCTTCTCTTTTTTCCACGATGATAGGAGTTGTTATATCTGTAACCTTTACTTTGGTACTTAGTATGAAAATGACATGGGTTTGGTTGAAGATATGAAGAACAAATTGAGGATTCCCCACTCATTCTCTCATCTTTCCAAATCATGTTGAGGAAGGAAAAATATTACAGTTGAAGCTAGTCAAATATAAACAAGCCCTCAGAAGTTATGCAGAAGCGGTACCAAGGAAGAGTTCCTATGCTTCTTTATTTTGGGTAAGGGAAAAAAAAATAGACGAAATGAACTTCAATTCTATCTTGGTGGTTCCTTCCCACTTATCGGAGCTAGTCAAATATAAATAACTCCTCAGAAGTTATGCAATTGCGGGTACCAAGGAAGAGTTCAAATGCTTCTTCATTTTGGGCAAGGAAAAAAAAAATAGTGGAAAAGAACTTCAATTCAATCTTGGTGGTTTCTAGATAGCTATAGCCCACAACTCTTGGAAGGACAATCATTTTACTTTTGAGGTTTATTTTCAATCCAAGATTTCTATTACTTCATGGCACATAAAGTGTTGTGAAATTGAATGCTGATTTTTCTAAGTTGGAGTTTGATGGAAAGTGGAGGCAAATTGAAAATTTTCACT